GGAAATGTTGACAAGTAATTTACGATACAAAGCACGATTTCAGTGATAAATGAATGTTACTGTACATGTTGTTAATGACAAATCCGGAAATGTTGAATTTGGACTATATCATGTATAGTTAATTTTCAATATTGAATGGAAATGCTTTTATCGGAAAAGGCGTGTTATATAAAGTACATTTGCCGTATTCAGTAACCTGATCTTTATGGCTTCCCGCCGAAGATCGTGGAGTTTCTACTACTTAAATGTGTAAAATTGAATAATTTGCTATTCTACAATATTTACATGTCGCAAAAATGATACGGTATTTGAGGGCCTGTTCGGAAACATCTCGATTTCCGTGAAAGATGTCAACGACTGACATACATTTACAAGGCTTGGATTCGGGAGATACAGTTCAGCATCTCGTTATACACTCTGATCAGCATGAAGTTGACAATGACTAAGGGGAAGTTATATCGTAGCCACCATGATTTCATCGTATAATTTGAGAATATTCCTCTCCTTTTGCATTGAACAAAATCCACATAATTGGTGTCTTCTATAAACCAGACGTTTGCCCTTTCTGAGCACCTAGTTGTATTCGGTTACTTCCTCTGAGGCTGACTTGTAAACTTTTCCTTCAAAGTTTTCCCCAGTTTCATCGATATTGTATTTGAATTTAGTTTTTGTTAACCTGTCGATATCATCATTGACTCAACTATAAGTATGCAATTAATAATTCTATAATTATCTTAGTCAAAATATTATTCAGACTATATCTATACATTTAGCGAAATAACTTTAATATACACATAAAATTATGTTTCTTGACTCGTAACCTAGTAGGGAGTAATTGAATATTCATTAATCTATCTTTTTACTTGATAAATGAATAAGGGTTATGTTATTTCAAAACCTAAGAACGAGAGTTTGTGCTCACGCTTGATATAAGAAATCTAGTTAATGCAGTACAATAAATCAAAACGAAGGCTTATTATGTGTGTTTTAAAACTAGATATTGCCGTTGTGTTTATTAGTAATATCAATAAATAGTAGGCAACATCGTTTTGAAGGAATAGTTATCTGTTCAATTTTCAATGTACAAAACCTGTCTTCCATAAGACTGACATTTTTGTGTTAAATCAATGACCACTCAGTTTTGTGATGCGTATATTTCTAGACTGAGAGGAGAGTTCCTGAACTGAAGTGTTCGACATTGTTATTTCCAGTAACGAACTGAAGTGGTTGACTTTGTAATTTTCAGTACTAAAGTTTTTGACATTGTAGTTTTCAGTACTGAAGTGTTTTACATTGTAGTTTTCAGTACTTAAGTGGTTGACATTGTAATTTTCAGTACTGAGGTGTTTGACATTGTAATTTCCAGTAACGAACTGATTGACTTTGTAATTTCCAGTAACGAAGTATTTGACTTTGTAATTTCCAGTAACGAAGTGTTTGACATTGAAAATTCCTGTACTGAAGTGGTTGACTTTGTAATTTCCAGTAACGAACTGACTGACTTTGTAATTTACAGTAATGAAGTGTTTGACATTGTAGTTTTCATTACTGAAGTGTTTGACATTGTAGTTTTCAGAACTGAAGTGGTTGACATTGTAGTTTTCAGTACTGAAGTGTTTGACTTTGTAAATTCCAGTAATGAAGTGTTTGACATTGTAATGTTCACTAATGAAGTGTTTGACATTGTAATTTCCTGACATGACGTATTTGACATTGTTATTTTCAGTACTGAAGTGTTTGACATTGTAATTTTCAGTACTGAAGTGTTTGACATTGTAATTTTCTGTACTGAAGTGGTTGACATTGTTATTTTCAATAATGAAGTGTTTGACATTGTAATTTTAGTACTGAGGTGTTTGACATTGTAATTTTCAGTACTGAGGTGTTTGACATTGTAATTTTCAGTACTGAAGTGTTTGACATTGTAATTTTCAGTACTGAAATGTTTTACATTGTAATTTTCGGTACTGAAGTGGTTGACATTGTAGTTTTCAGTACTGAAGTGTTTTACATTGTAATTTTCAGTACTGAAATGTTTTACATTGTAGTTTTCAGTACTGAAGTGGTTGACATTGTAATTTTCAGTACTGAGGTGTTTGACATTGTAATTTTCAGTACTGAAGTGGTTGACTTTGTAATTTTCAGTACTAAAGTTTTTGACATTGTAGTTTTCAGTACTGAAGTGTTTGACATTGTAATTTTCAGTACTGAAGTGGTTGACTTTGTAGTTTTCAGTACTGAAGTGTTTGACATTGTAATTTCCAATACTGAAGTGTTTGACATTGTAATTTTCAGTACTGAAGTGGTTGACTTTGTAGTTTTCAGTTATTTTCACATAATTTCCTGAAGGTGTTTGACATTGTAATTTTCAGTACTGAGGTGTTTGACATTGTAATTTTGAGTACTGAGGTGTTTGACATCGTAATGTCTTGTAATGAAATGTTTGACATCGTTTTACATAATGCTTATTGTATTGTGAAGATACGAAAGAAATTTAAATGACGCTGATAAACGATGTAAAAATGATGAATATATGAAGTATGTTTGCCAATGATGACTTATTAGGCAATATAATCATTGACATCAGCTCTCTTTTTCCTATGACTCGGAAATTATTTGAGAAACAGATATCGTCTCCATCTTATCACCGGCCACTGCAACTTCTTCTTTAAGAAATTGTATCTGCATATATCACTTTAATCAGCACCAACACTAACATTAACATACGGGTTATTTTCAATAAGCTATTGTATCGGTTAGGCGCAGTATGATAAAACCTTGAGTCATCATGTCCATGTTAAAGTTTCCATCATTCGAAAGTACCACTGGCCATGCATGGTATAAAACATTCCGCTACCATTTAGAAAAAATTATCTGGATACAAAAGAAGTATATTTTCATGAATGTTGTCTTCTCTTTAGTGAAGTTCTCATCTATGATTATGTATACAAAAATCCCTGATATGTTACTCATCAAATATATTCATTTTTGCATTTTCATTTCCTCCATCTATGCAGCAATATGAACAGTTAAAGTACTAAAACGGCAATGTAACATAATGAACGTCTCGTTATAAATCAACAGAGAAACAGATATATATTATATTAACAATATGGCCCAAGATGTTAGGCGCCATGCATATCATGTAGGTAATATACATGTACATGCGAGATGAAATAAACGAAATGATAAACATGTTTTTTTTCTGATTTACAGTGGTGTATATGCAGATACGCATTCTGTATACGTTCACGGACGTTTTGCAATTCACTTGAAGTATATTAAGTTTGTTTTAATGCAGTACATAACACTACATGCCATCATTAATTTTGTAATTAACTCCAAGCGATATACAATGTAGTAAGACAATCAAGCTGTTTTTATAAATATTTTTTAGTCAGAATAACATATATATTGTAATGTTATATATTAAGGTACGATGACATCATAGATTTATGGGAGATCTAGCAGTTTATATAATTTCATTTATTATGCCATGTAACAATGTAATCGTTGAACTTATTATGAAATTTCATTTCTTATTGCGAAACATGCAGTGAGTGTACAAGACACGCACATTGGTGATATACTACGTCCAGTTTCGAATATATTATAATTGATATGTAGTAAAACGATTTATAAAACCGTTTTTCGATGTCTATTAGTAGAAAAAGTGAACGAGTGTAACCTTTGACCCTTAAGTATTGACCGATGACCACCGAACTCTACTCAGGTGATGAGCTGGTTCTAATACTATGGTTTATATATAAACTACATGTATTGAGGGTTTCCCGAGGTATCTTTTGACCAATTCATTCTTATCGAGATCCCTTGATCTTAATTTCAAATATGATCAAGGGTAACCTTTGACCCTACAAAACAAATGACCTATGATCACCTAAGAATACTCAGTTGAAGAGACTGGTGTTGTGAGTTTATGGTTTGAATATGAATATGAACTAAATATACTGATGACTTTATGAGGTATCATCTGACTAATCCTCTATCATCCAAATAACAAAATGTTATCAAGTGTAACCTTTGACCCTTAAATATCGACTAATGACTACCAAAATCTACTCACGTGTAGCACTTGATGTTTCGATACTATGGTTAAGATAAAAATTAGATATGTTGTCGTCTTCATGAGATATCCGCTGGTCAATTTTTTATCCAGATCTCTTTGTGTTAATATCAAAAGTTGTCATGAGTAACCTTTGAACCTGAGAATGAAAACTAAATCTGGTGAGAGTTTCGTTGGATATCCTGTACATGACCTTTGTAAAGAGGATGTTCGCACTGGCTCAAAAGGAAACTACTTGTAGCTTTTTTTAGTTTGTAGTAATGTAAAATATTATATCTAAATACGAGATAAACAAGCATATACGAAAAAATAATTTGATGACACGTGTAAAGTTGGTGCGCCTATGTTTTGAATAGATATGGTTTTATTATTTCATTATGTGAATATTCTAATCGAAATGACGCCTTTATCGCACATTCAGTGTCATAGATCATAATATTTATGAAATTAGACAAATCATCGACAGGTTAATGCATAAACACGTGTGACCTATCTTTAAATATGATGACAGATTACAACAGTCACAGAAGTTATATCATAATAACAAAACGACAACAACTGTTATATAAAACATTATATTGATTATGTTACAGTAAACCTCTATAAAACGCCTTGTTGAACATACATGTATGCAATAAATACAGACGAATATTTCCTCTCAAAATGATTGATATATACCTCCCTCAAGATATACCTCAAAAGCATTGGTATTTCACAATCTTTATAAATTGTGACATTTATCGTGATTGACAAAGAGTATCAATATTAGGAATGCTTTTCCTTATGATGACGTCAAATGGATATTGCTCTAATATTTAAAACATGTCTCATGAATGATATCTGATTTCAATCGAAGCTGACAATTAAAACAAACCTTCATATACATTTAACATATACATGAAAAATATGTATATCATTACGGATACAATTTGAAATATGTAAACCCGTCATTTTTCGATTTTTTCTTTCCAAGATTTCGGAGTTTATCTGGGAACGTATCATATCCAAAGAGAACGGCATCGACATACAAAGCTTCTTTCAGTCTGTCCATAGTAACTGGTGTAAGATTGCTGTAGGCTTCAAGAAGTGCTTCATGTCGGTTCTTTTTACGTTCCGCAGGGTCTCCAGACATCGCATGCGCATCAAGCAGAAGTCTTTTAAATTCATTTGGATGAATATTGTCAGCATAATCTAAAGGATACGGAAATTTGATATATTTGCTAATTATTCCTCTTATCTGTAGCTTCCGCCATGCCCTAAATAAGGCTTGAGGCAGCGTCATACACTTCTGTATTGGCCGACGCATAGAATACACATAGTCTACTGTGTCTATTATAGCATCTGTTTCAGTCTCGTTCTGAAAATCATTAAATTTAACATATTTTTCTAAATTAAGTTTCTTCAATATATGAAAAGTATCTTCTTTAAAAGTTTCCATTTTACCAATGTAGTCATATTCTATTTCACACGGTCGACAGTGTTCGAAGCTAGGCACAAAATGGGCGTCTCTATGTTCATTAGTACTCTGAGAATATATAAAATACTCCACAAATTCCTGGAACGTGATATCATGGCCGCACTCTGCGCTATGATTTGTTGGATTCTCACGAAATCTAGTAACAATGTATCGCCCAATGAAATTCCAGTAAGCAGCATTTGGTGAATACAGTTTATCGACGTACCCTGAAAGCAGTCTTTCAAAAGGTTCTCGTACGAACATAAATTTTGTTGAATGCACAAGAATGTTATAAATCTTGTCGAATGGCAGCCGTTTGGCCGTCTGGTACCCTTCATATGCATGGATCCCCTTTATTCTGAAAGGATCGGATACATTCTGCCAGCCACTGAGAATTTGGAATATTCTTTTCCAGAATGTGCAGCCAATCTTTTCAATAGCACAGTAGGTTATCTGGTTCTTACTGTCAACTACCAGATGTTCTTTAACCGCAGCTTCGGAATCCTGAACAGCGTAATATTGTTTAAGGTTTTGACACCCGTCATGTATTATAGAATTTCTCTGTTGAAATCGAGCAGCAATACGGCTATCTTGTAATGTCTGTAAGAAAATTATAGAAATAAAATAAGGATCACCTTATCGAATTTGTAATACGTAACATACAATAGGATAAAAGGCATTGCGATTCTTTGCATTTTACTTTGCCTCCATGCACATGTAATACAATCATAAGAAACAGAAACTATCTAGACTTAAAAATACTTTATCATATGTTCAATTTTTCCATAATACAAATTTTGATACTAAAGGACATTTTTGTGATATTTAAAATCTAACTTTAAAATGACGACACATTTATAACTTGTTTATCTAACTGGACTCTGTTGCATTAAAGAGGGTAAATTTCGAGCAGATATTTCGAAATGTGACTTTAATGAATATAAGTTTGTTTTACATACAAATATCCGTCACTAAGACAATTTATTATATCTGTGTACCAGTGAATATTGCTTGTTCAATAGACCATACATACCTCGTGAACATTTGATATCTGACTAACACGTGCGATAGGGTCGACTGCTACACTGCTGTATGTGATATTAAAATCTGTAAAACAAAAGTAATAAAATTTAACACGTTCAAATAGAGTTGAATTAATAATGAAAATGTAATTTTAAAAGATAGATCGGTTGCTTTAAATGACAGAATATTCATTTTTGATTTTATTGTTTTGTTATTCCGTCAATGTTTCCGAATTTATCTTTATATAGAGCAACGATCTGTAACATTTTGAATAATTTTTGATAGCAACATGATATCTGTATAATCGTGCGTATAACACATCGTTCAAAATCATTCAATGCCAAAATAATATATCAAATTACAGATTTGATTTTCCCATTTAAATACTTTCATTTTCCTGCTGACTGAATTTCGATGGTAAGGACGAAATTATATCTCAACGTACCATAAATTGAAGTCATTTGTACATTTTTAAACAACACTATTGGTGATGTCAACGTACTTTTTCATAAAAAATCACCCACACAGAGAAAGTTAATTTTTATGATTAATAGTTAAAATAACTATCATTGCAAGTCATCTTTGTGTGAAAGACATTTAACTGACTAGCACGAAAAGACAGCACAATACTGATTATTGTTCGAAAGTTGGCGTCATAGATATGTGCCTTATGATATAATTCATTTCACATGCATTACATCTAGAAGAAAAGGGTGTTTTTCGTTTAACAAAACTAATTAAACAAATTACAATGAACAGATTGTATGATGCCTTGTCTGAAAAACAAGTAGATTAGCTATAAGTGACAATACTATAATTGTTTGTAAGTTGATAGATACATGTTAAATAAAACAGTTGCAGGATGCAATTTATTCCACCATCTAAATTTATATTGATTTCTGTATCTTAAATAATGTCTTGTATATCGGTGTCAGCAGTTAACATTATTTTTGTTTTATTTTTTAAGTCGTCGCATCATTCTGTAGGATGAATCTTTCAATGACATCACCTTATTAATGACTGTTTTTATTTAATCCGAATACAATTAGTATCACATCTACAAAACTGCCTGAGGTACAAACATTCTTTCATTAAATTCAGTTGTGCCAATATCATAAGCTATATATGTATACATTTTATGAGTTATTCTATCATGATAGTAATCAAAGTCAGCTAAAACAAGATCATCTAATGGCTGGACCTAACAGAGACTTCGAATGTCCGAGTGATATATCTCATATCTGTCAAATTATCATATATAATTAGTGATACCCTCATTAGGATGTCGTCAACGTTAACCACACGCTAAATCATACTAATTATTACAAATCCTTAACCATCATGTGTCATACATTGTCAGCTTGACAATGGACCGAGATATACTGTATGTACACTTATGTTAAAGACCCTTTAAGCTATTTTAAATGTAAAATGATTTTTTGTGAGCACAATGATTACTTCCAAAACATTTTCAATCAACTGCTTTATGTTTTTCTACTATGGTAACGATATTCTTGCAAACAAAAAATTATCGAAATCTGTTTTTGTGACTGACATTTTAGTATAAATGTGATGTAAATATACTAAGCCACGGAATATACAAATGTAATAGTGGTAAAGGTGATTTGATTTAACTTGAGGCTCTACTAAAATTACGTTAAGCTTATCCTAAAATTAGCGTGATTTCAAAACACAAAACAATACAAAAATAAAACGAAAAAAAAAAGACTTTTTCATCACTTGTTATAATTCACTTTGCGAAAAAAGACATGTGCGTGGAAATGCCCCCAGCCCACCCCCTTTTTTTTAAGAATTTGAAAGAAGAATTGTAAGTGCTCAAAATGGATTGTATTATGCAACACATCAACACAGACCGATTTTTTTCAAAGTGCGTTGTCTAGGCCCTATTTTGACGAGATTTGGTAAAAAAAAAGGCAAAGTACGTTGAGTTTGTCTCAAAATTATGCGGTCGGAGTTTTTTTTCTCAAAGTGCATATTTTTTTCAAAGTACTTATTTTTTTCAAAGTTGGTTTAATAAAGTAGTATGCCCCGATTATGTCTGGAATAGAAACACTTCTATTAGTTTTGGATGTTTCATTTACCCTTGAAGTGTTTAGCCGTCATGTTTAATGTAAAGATATTAACCGTTTAGTGTTGAGATGTGTGCAGTGGTTTGTAGCATATATATATTTTGGCCAAACTTATTTTCTTGGAGTTCAGAAACAGATTCATTATTTGATAAATGTTCGTAAAACTGAAAATGTAAACGAAACAGATATATCACATTATAGCAACATATAAGATTATTCCATATAAATATTTTTTAAGTCGAAATAAGCTAACAGTACTTGTTTAAGTATTTTATAAAGCATTATTTCACTAACGAGGAAACCTGTGTCGTTGTTTAAGTGTTCACTTAAATGTGTAGTAGTAAACGTCATTTGTAAGTGGCAGACAGTAAAAGTATGATGTTATGTGGGGAATGTTGGGACATCTTTTCCGTCAGGTTGAACGGTTAACGAGGTATAATGTTTCTGAAGTGTCCCAGTTCTTCCTACTCTCCAAGTTAGAAAAAACAAAAGCATAATTAGTTTATCGGATACTTTTCTACAGGCAAAACTAAAGAGGTAGATGGTAGTGTATTATTGGAACGCGTGTTTAGGGAAAATATTTTATAAAGAATTTCTGGGAAGTGTGAAATGAATGGTCTAATACATAACATTAATTGTATATCTATGCCTTTATGACTTCAGGAAACGCTTCAGGTATGAAATGTGTTGTTTCCTTGGGACAAAAAACAGGTATAATTACTCGTATCCTTATAATATAACTTTCTTTACCAATATTCTATAGCTTTACATTTTGTTTAATCAAGCAGTGATTTATACAAGTTTATAATGTACAAACTTATAAACATTGACGTGAATTGACTGGATGTTAGCAGCTCTAGCTACATCTAAGATATGAAAGTATCCTCAACTATTGTCTTTATATGATTGAATCATTAGATTCACATGGGTTTTCTTTTTCCTAGCAAATTAGTTTACTAGTTAACTATTTCGTTTAGTTTGTTTGTTTGAATAATTGAATGTAAGGTTCTTTTTATCGTTGTGACAGATGACTTGTTATGGAGTCTTAAATGTACGTTAATATTTTTGATCAATTTCCTTTATTTTCGCCCAATGAATCTTTCAACATCTCTCATACCCTTGCACAGTAAACACAACCTCACTGGCATTCATGTAAACTAGTGAAATACGCACACCAGTGGACACAAGCAACGTCTTAATGATTCAGTATAGTAGAATGTCATCTCACTTTTTTCTGAAAGATCAGCGAATTCAAATAACACCTAAAGCAAGATTGCCATAATCAAATACCAATCTAATCCAAAACTTTCATCTACGGAAATAGAAATGTAGTACCATGAACACGTAAACTATGTCTAAAAATATACATTTCAACTGAAACATACTATGCGTCTTTCTGTCCATCTATCGTTATTTTTGGCATATTTCCCATTTTTGGTATTTTTCCCATTTAGCTATCTAACAGTAAATCACGTGCGTAATAATTATATATCGTCGTCGAAACAGTCAGTGGAAAAAAAAAGATAAAAAAAAAAAAAAAATACGAACAATTCGAAAGGACAATAAGGACACTATCATCCCTTCCTTCATGCATCAGGTCCATTGTCCCCTTCGTGTGAATGCGTACTAGTAAAACTGATCAAGGCTAAGAATCGGGCAACAGCTTTTTGTAGTGATAAGTGGTACAAATTACAAAACTGTTTTCAACGTTTCATTGCCTTAATTCTATATTACAATCATATGAATTGCAAAGGAAAACAGAACAAAAAGCAAAAAGAAAATACACATATTTTATAAACCCCAAAATATGGAATTGAGTAATATTCAAATAAAGTTGTCGATAAATTATATGAATATCAAATTATGCAAAGTCCTATGAACAACTCATTCATAAATTAAAATGGCGGAAGACCCACTTACTTAAATGTAATCCTCTTTTGTATCATTTTGAGATGTCCCCCTGTGATAAAAACTATGATATGTCTTTACTCATTTAACGGTCACCGTAATGTAAGAGTGTTGAAATGCCCCTGTGTATGTATGTGCATTTTTAACATAAATCACTGCTTTGAGTCATTTTTATCGTGAATGTACACATCGACTACTTGAGACTGTTTGTACAAATTCACAGATATCTAAACCCCAGAAGGTCCCCAATATCGCGCAATGTGTTGTTGATTCTGTTGTATTCGTGCTGTCGTAAACAAATAGATGTCATTTGTTCAGCACATCAACAAGTGGTTGATCGACAACAGGTATGTTTGTGTACATGTATATGTCTTGGTGTGATAAAAAAGCACGGATATGTCATTGTAATGTATCGTCATATCCTTACTGACAAAATAGTTAACATGTACACAATGTTGGCTATTGTTATGAAATATTCTATAGAAACCTCAAATTATTTGGATTGCTTTTACTTTGTTTTGTTTTTATGGTTTAAAATATTTAACTGAAAGATTGATAAGTTGTCCGATTAAACAATGAAAAGCACTATTTCTAGACGAAAAGACTAAAAAAAATCTTATCTAATTGTAAGGAGGTTTTCATAAATGGGATAATTATATAATTGAGGACTATCTATCTACAGTTTTACATGGTACTTTCGTTTTGCAGGATTCTCTTTTATTTTATACTTGGGCTGTTATTTTCGGCTTCAAAATAGGTATTTCTTGTGTTGCTTTGAAAGATAATTCGAGATTTTACAACTAGTTAACTGACAAAATATGTTTTTTACCCTGAATTATTTCATTATGCTTACATGTACTTTCATAAATAAAATCGTATTAAGTGGAGTTCTCAATGATATTAAATAAACAGTATTTTTGTATCGGTACTGTCATGACATATCATAATCAAGAAGCTTTCACTGGCAGCAAGTTCATTAGTACTAAACTACAGAACTAAACAACATAACACCAATTATCAAAGATTATGTGTTCCGTAAAACCACTCTTTTAGAGGTTGTCAGTTGTTTAATTGACCAGAGGATTG